AGGCAAACCTAATTAGTTGCTACTTTAACTTTTTTTTTAAGCTGCCCTCATGGATAACACCCCACACTAACTTTACCCACACCATGTTACTCTAGCTAATCACTCAGTTACATAAAAAAAAGACTAAAGTCTCTGTGGGGCATATTTACTGAAACTGTAAAGTGCAAAATCTAGTGCAGCTCTGCATAGAAACCAATCAGCTTCCAGGTTTTATTGCCAAAACCTAATTGAACAAGCTGAAGCTAAAAGCTGATTGGCTACCATTCACAGCTACACCAAATTCTGAGTACACCAGTTTCAGTTTCAGTAAATTTCAGGAAATCTATCCCAATGTCTTAACCTAATCCATAGTCAAGTGACAGAATCCACTATTTGGTTAAATACCCAAACTGGAATTGCAGCAACAGATTTATTATAAAGCATTAAACCTTGTGAATAAAAGGTGACATATTGGTCTACAAGTAGATCTGGAGTAAGGTTTATAAAAGCATTTAAAGTATAAAAAAGGAAATAATATGTTGAATGTCGTAATTATCTGTATTAACCCTATATATTTATCAAAAATCAATGATTTAGCAATAGTAGCCCTTTAATTAACGTTTTAACGAAAACCATATGTAAAGCTCTCGCTGGAAAAAAATCAAGGAATCAATTTTTAACAGAGGTTCTCATGTGACACATTAGCTGCATTCCATCCACAGGCATTGTCATGAAAGTCACTGTTGTTCTTGGCTTTGAAAAATGTAGAACCTCCCTCTCACCTTCTAATTGAACTATGCAGTAGGGCCTCTTTGGAACTTGCTCACTTCTATGGCTGAAGAATTCTAGGAGCATACCCTTAATAGAAATATGTACCTTTTTGGAAATGCTAATTACCTGGCTGTCAGACTAACTCAATATTGTCAATGCATTTTAACAAGTATACATATACATAAGAAATTCTGACTTTTCTCTGAATTTTTAATCATCAGGCTTCCTGGCTTGGAAAGTAGTGAAAGTGTATATATCCATAACTTTGCAACTCTATATTAAAACGTTCCTGACATGTCACAAATTAGAGCAGATACAGTATACAATTGTTAATAAAGCTGTATCTTTTGTCATAAAATTCAGTTATTGACATCCAATCAACTGACTTTGCCTAGGCTGAGATGTTTTCATCAGTTTGCTGCAGGCAGAAGGAAGTATTACTTCCTTCTGTACTTCAGGATTAAGACTGTAACATTGTAACTAGCAGCAAGTAACAAGGTAAGAGGCAGCAGCATGGTTTTATCTGTGTCTGACATTTGTGAACACAGCCAAGAACTGCATAGGCACCAGGGTTTAAATACATGTGTCATATTTGAGCCAGTATCTCAGACCAGGAAGTAGCTGCTGAAAGATGACTAAGAATAATAATGCCTACACAAAGATTCTCCTACTTCTACAAAAGGCATCAGCTAAATATAAACACTACTCTGATAAATGAAGGCACCATTTACCCCCATATGCAGTAGGAGTCAAAGTATGGCTGTCAGCCAAGTATGTGAGACTGAAACAACCTTGGGCCCATGATTTATCGATCTCTACAAGATAATTTTCTCGTCTTGGGCCAGTTTTTTTATCACCTGAAATTGCCACTATCTCTTCGGATACACCCAGTTTTTCATGTCTCTCTACTCAAAAAGGCAGTCTTTAACCAGTACTCATAACCTCATCAACTACCTTCTCCTGTTCTCATGGATGGGCAGCACAAGTACGAGGTATTTATGATCTTGAATTTAAGAAGGTGGGGCCGAGGGGTACAGTACCTAGTGCATTGCAAAGGATACCCTGTGACTGATAGATATTGGGTGCCCACTGTTAGATAATGAGTTTATATGATATCTCCAATAAATGCTGTACATAATACTGTAATTATGAATATATTTCAGTTAGAGCTGTATCAGTCTGGGTGTGCAATATGTCTTCCCATAAATTCCTGTTCTATAGATACCATAGTCGCCAAAGGGAATATTCTATTAATTATACCTTCTTTACTGTATAACAGAAATCATTGCTGAGAATCCTCTTTCAGACAGTTCGGTGCCAGAGTTAGTTTATCTAACAATGGGACAAACCTGTTGGCTTCACAATATGCACTTCAAGGGATATCTAATTTAAATATGCAATGAAGGTGGCCAGCTGTTCATGAATAGTTAATTTCTCAGGAAAAGGTCATGAACTGTCATGCTTAAATGCCATAAAGGGTGTGCCAAGATTTGCCTTAAAGAGGGTTGGTGTATGCGGTTGGTGTATGCTAAATACAGGTGATTTGAAGTTAGCCAATTATGAAAGAGAATAGATTTGCCAACCAATCAGAGATACTCCATGAAAATTAATGGAGAAGAAGCCTATAACTATGTACACTAGAGAGAGAGAGGTTCTCTTTGGAACACCAGGCGAAGGGAATGGAACTTGTACATCCAGTTTTTATGGTAATTATAGAATATATCCCTTGCACTTATATCTAAATGTTTGTCTTATGTCTTTTCTGTCTCACTGTTTGTATTTTGTAATATGTTCGAGGTTTCTTAATAATGTTTCTTTTATGTAACTAGATAGATTGTTAGATTGTTTGTGTTAGTTTAGAACTCAATCCTATTTACCAATACATTTTAGTTGTTGTGTTAAACCTTTCACTTTTGGGTAAGAACTCTTCATTTACCAAATCATATCAGAGAAATATTATATTTCATAATCTATAGATTTGGTCAATACCCACTAAAGATCTACATACTCCTTCCCTCATTTGGGGCTTTCATGACACCTTTCCCACAAAGTTTTGCTAGGCCCCCGGAGGGGTCCATTGGGAGGAGTCCTGTCATGTGCCTGGGGCTGAACTTGGGTCCTTCTGCCTTTGGGACTCCAGCTCTGTTTGCTCTGCCACTTGGGAACCTGAGTATTGCAGTAGACACTTTGCATAATACCTCTGCTTTTAGTACTCTCTAGTCCCACCTGTCTCACAGCTAGGCTTCAATCCACAATCAGATCAGCTATAGTTGTAGGATTTCCCTTGGACTGTGCCTGTTTGTTGGACCTGTTTCCCTGGGTATACTGAATTTCTGGACTTTGATCTCTGTCTGATTCCTGGATTGCTCTCTTTGCCTAATAATTCTACATAACTGTGCCAGGTGTATGACCCTGCCTATCCCTGACCATGCTTCTGGATTTTGATTTTGTACCTTGCCATCAAGATTTGTTGCTGACCTGGCCTGCACGACTACACTAAAGCCTAAATCCTCAGCCAAAACTATATTTGGACTATACCTTAAAGCACGTACCTTACAGTTCTGTCCTCTTAGAAAGAAAAGATGACAGCATTGTCAAGAGAAGTACTGTGATCTTTGTGAGAGCTAATAAATACTTTTAAGTGTTAAACATACACATTACTTGTAGACAGTGCAGTCTACTTTCTCCACTACAGGTGGCGCTCATCCGCAGCGGCAATGCAGGTGGAGCAGGAAATCGAGAGAAACCTAGTTCCTTTATGGTTTCCTTGGTAACAGGAAGGCAACTATTCTAGTGCATGCTGGCACCCCATGTGACCTTGGTGGCTACCTTGGATCAGGCAGAGTCTATTTTCGACTCATTTTGTGTGTGGCTAGAGTAGGCATAGGTCACCATTCTGTCAGGGACAGTGCATAGTGTCAAGAAGTAGGGAAAGTGAAGGGATAAGCCATCCTTCCTGGAAGCCTTCCCTTAGGATAAAGACCAGCCAGGCCACAATTCCTCTCCACGAGACAGATGCTGTCGGCACCTCTGGTCCACTGCTCTACTGCCACTTTGCTGTGCAAATTGTGAGAGCTTGTTTTGTTTTATGAGACTGTGTTATATTATATTCTTGAAATTGCATAGGGAGTTGTGAGTTTTCAGCCACAGCACCATGCTGCAAAAATATTAAATGTTAGATTCGCTTGATAGCCTAAGAGCCGGGCAACTAGTATTTTTGGAAGGAAGTCAGCAATTGTAGGTTGTTCATTTAAAAGAGGTAAAATTCAGGATGTAAAAAAAAAAAACACATACTCACGTAGGTGAATGCAGCATTGGTTTGATGCTGCATCTCTCCACCGCCACCTATAAGACTACTTTAAAACTTTCTACTTTTAAATACTATTAAAGTGTTACTGAACCCACAACAGTAAAATGACTCTGTATGTGCAGAAAAGCATGTAATATTCACTATATTGCCATATATTGAGGCTCCTGCCTTTACACGCACATAATGAGATCCCTGTCTTAGTCCTTCGGATTCAATATTGAGTTGGCCCACCCTTTGCAGGCACTGGTGTCAGACGAGAAGGCCTGGCTCGCAGTCTCTGCTCTAATTCATCTCAAAGGTGTTCTATTGGGTTGAAGTCAGGACTTTGTGCAGGCCAATCAAGTTCCTTCACCGCAAACTCGCTCATCCATGTCTTTATGACTTTGCTTTGTGCACTGGTGCGCAGTCGTATTGGAACAGGAAGGGGCCATCCCCAAACTGTTCCCACAAAGTCAGTGGGATTGTTTGACCATTCTTCCAAGAGCGCATTTGTGAGGTCAGGCACTGATGTCAGAATAGAAGGCCTGGCTCGCAGTCTCCACTCTAATTCATCCCAAAGGTGTTCTGTCAAGTTCATTACCTCAAACTTGCTCATCCATGTCTTTATGGACATTGCTGTCCAAAATGTCTTGGTATGCTGACGCCTTAAGAGTTCCCTTCACTGGAACTAAGGAGTCAAGCCTAACCCCTGAAAAACAAACCCACACCATAATTCCCCTCCACCAAACTTTACACTTGGCATAATGCTGTCAGGCAAGTAACAGTCTCCTGGCAGCCACTAAACCTAGACACATCCATCGGATTACCAGACAGAGAAGCATGACTCATCACTCCAGAGAACACATCTCCACTGCTCTAGAGTCCAGTGGCAGCGTGCTTTACACCACTGCATCCCACACTTTGTATTACACTTGGTAAAGTAAGGCTTGGATGTAGCTGCTTGGCAGTGGAAACCCATTCCATGAAGCTCTCTATGCACTGCTGTTGTGCTAATCTGAAGGCCACATGAAGTTTGGAGGTCTTTAGCTATTGACTCTGGAGACAGTTGGCGACTTCTGCGCACTGTGTGTTTCAGCATGCGCTGACCAAGCTCTGTCATTTTACATGGCCTACCACTTCGTAGCTGAGTTGCTGTTGTTCCCAGTTGCTTCTACTTTGTTATAATACCACTAAAAGGTGACTGTGGAATATTTAGTAACAAGGAAATTTCATGGATGGACTTATTGCACAGGTGGCAACCTATCACGATACCACACTTGAAGTCACTGAGCTCCTGAGAGCGACCCATTCTTTTACAAATGCTTGTAGAAGCAGTCTGCATGCCTAGGTGCTTGATTTTATACACCTGTGTCCATGGAGATGATTGGAACACCTGAATCCAATTATCGGGAGGGGTGTCCTAATACGTTTGATAATATAGTGTATATATATATATATATATATATATATATATATATATATATATATGTAGCTCTGGCACTCTTTTATCTTTCAAAAATAGTATTATATAAGGCAGCTGTAATTTTTATTTTTAATGCATTCTGATAGTTCAGTAGGTGACTGTGATTTGCTATTCACTCCCTTTTCTTAGTAAACCCATTTAATAAATTCCTTCTCTTATGTGTGGGATGTTTCCTTATTTGCAATGCAATACTATTATCCGTGAAACTTTCTCTGCAGTGATTAAACGGACAGCAAACTTCTATGTTTAACAGCATTTATGTTAATTACAGAGAGAGAGGGAGTGATAACGATAATTCCAGAGATGTTTATCTCAATTCACTGTAATTACAGCTGCATTATTTTTGTAATGTTAAGAGCAAAGCTATCTACTTTTCTCATGTTGCTATGCAATCTTATCCTATGGCATTAAAAAGAACGGGAATGTTGCTAATTATGGCTTACACACCTACAAAAACTGAATAAGACAGCATATATTTTAGCCAGCGCATTACATCAATATTGAAACAGGGGTTTCAAAACATGTATTGGTATAAGAAGATCTGACTTATCTCAGACCTCACTTGCGACATGCTTGTTCCAGGTCAGTAACTTAAGAGCATTGAGGCAGCAAAGCAGATAATTTTTTTTTTTAGGGGGAGAGGATGTTAGTTTAACGTAAGAGCTAGTACTTAAAGGAACTGTCTAGTAACCTGTTAATTTCACTATGCTGCATAAAGTCTGAGAAAGGGGTGTGGGCAGGAAATTTGAAGAACTGCAGGCGGCAGATCCATCTGGCTGTATGACTGATGCTGCTGTCTGAGCCCGCAGAGACCAACCTGGGGTGAGTGAGCTCTGCACTACTACTGAACTCTCCCCATCTCACTCCCTTCTCTCCCCATCTAAGCACTTAGGGACAACTAAGTTATGATGTAAAGGGGCACTCCACCAGGTTCTGATGTAAAGGGGCATTCCATCAGGTTCTGATGTAAGGGGGCACTCATCGAGATTCTGATGTCAGGGGGCATTTCAGCCAAATTCTGATGTAAAGGGGCACTCCACTGTATTCTGATGTAAGGGGGCACTTCACCAGATTCTGATGTAAGGGGGGCACTCTGCCAGGCTCTGATGTAAGGGGGCACTCTGCTGTAATTGTGGGACTCTGATGTAAGGGGGTATTCTGCGGACTCTAATGTAAGGGCAGACTCTGCAGACTCTAATGTAAGATGGTGGCACTCTGAGGACACTGATGTAAGGGGGGACTCTGATATATAGGGAAAATGCTGGGGACTTTGATGTAAGGGATGTAAACGTGACATTCATCCTGACTGCTGCACTCCATATGTTGTTTTGTTTGTTACTTACTCTTGAACCCTGTACTCAACATACATTATGTTGTACATAGACCTTACCAAGGTGTTCATTGTCTCAACAGTTGCTGGTTTTAATGAAATTCTTCTTTATCCCCTTATCGCCTAAGGGTAAAACAAATCTTAATGCCTAAGCACAATTTTGCAACTTTGACATGTACAAAACTGTACATATCATCACAGCTACTTTGTGCATCCAGGTAGATTATACCTTGTTTTTTTGCAGGACAAATTGGACTTTCATTTGTTGGTAAATGGAAATGGATATCTCCTAGTTTGTTTTTATTATCAAAGGAAAACTGTCCTGAAATAGCAAAAAAACATTTTTTTTTTTAAATTTAGCTGTATATTTCTTGTTACTAAGATAACCTACCACCAAAGAACAACCCAAAATGTTTTTCTACTCCTGACGATCGTAGCGATACCACATATGTGTATGTTAGTTGATGTTTGTACCAGTGGCCCAGAAATAATAGTGCGCAGTTTGCTTTTTTTATTCTGCCACTAACACTGATACTAATTTAAAAATTAAAAAAAAAAAACGTCCCTGACTTTTGACCCTGGCCTTGGCCTTTGACCTTGACCCAAACACTAACCCTGGCACTGACCTAAATCAAACCTTGATTTAGGTATTTTTATTTTATTTTTTTAATTATTTCTTTCTTTCTTTCTTTATTTATTTAACACACATTTGTTTTCTTTCTCTCTGAAAGGACAGAGAGAGATACAAAGTAGAGAGAGAAGACGCGGGGGCGGGCTTCACAATGGCTGATTACTGTCATAGCCAGTCAGTGGCTATAACAATGATCAGGTGACCCAGAATTGGGGGTTCCCGGTCCTGGTCATTAGAGCGGGACCCAGGGCTTTCAACAAGATCCCGATCTCTGTCCAGCACAAAGACAGGTATGCAAATATGTGGCTCCATGGAAAAAATCCCTGTCAAGCGGGGCCGTATATTTGCGTAAGGTTGGCATGAAGGGGTTAAGGTAAGCTCAGTAAGGCAGCCCATACATTAGTCATATTTTCTGTTAAACCAGCTGGTTGAATGAAAAAAAAATGAGCTGATTTCCTGCTCCAAACATTCGATGTGGATAGGGGAATATACTGATCAGTGCTACCGGCCACAGGCAGTGACACCAATCAAGCAGAAATTTTCTGTACAACCAGCCTGCCCACACAGTGCATGGACTGAAATCCATCTGGTCCCTGCTGAACCTAAGACAAAAACATCCTTTTTTGTGTGCACAAAAACCTATGTATTGAAAACATTTGATTAAAAGTAATATTTCTTTGTCCTGAGGTTTATTTGTGTCTGTGAGACTGTCAGTTGTGGCACAATAATTAGTATTTTGTGGGTACCATGTTTGTGGCATATGTGTGCATTCTATACAGCAAGGAAGTGTACAATCCCAACAAACACGTTCCTGCATTAAAAATGGCTGTGTATAAGTGGGTGCAGCAGTGAACATCGGCTGGAACCAAACAGAATAAGCAAGACAGAATGTCACCAGCACAGTGAGCATCACCAATATAGGTCCAAAAGTTTTAATGAACGATCACATAGTTATATCAAGGCAACATTTCGGAGTCATGCAGGACCCCTTCATCAGGCATGTTCACAGGTGCAGATTCTGTTTCAATTCCCCCTTAAGACTCCCCACTAGCCAACCACAGAGTTTTTCTATTCTGTCCCATGGTGCTCCATGTCTTTCATAATCCTAGTCTTGCTCACATTTTGTCATGCTCTCTTGACTTTTTAATTGTAAAGTTAGGCAGATTACTTGTAATGAGTATTGTTAATGTTTACATATTACATATACTTAAAGTTTGCCTTTAGGAACATATTATATGTCCTCTGCCCTGCTGACCCCCTGTACACTGCCATACTGACCTCTGTACACTCCCCTGCTGCCTGACTGTCTTCTACCCTACTGATCCTTGTCTTCCACCCTGCTAATCCCTGTCATCTCTCTGTTGACCCTGTCCTCTGCCCTGCTGACCCCTGCCCTCTTCTCTACTAACTCCTGACTTGCCTGCTGTCCTCACATCCTCTGCCCTGCTGACTCACTGCACACTGCCCTGCTGACCCCCTGTACACGGTATTGTTGATCTCCCATTCTCTGCCCCTCTGACATTTTTTACTTCATCCCCACATCAGACCTGCTAGATCTGGCCCTGCTACAATGGGCATGTGACCATCAGAACTGGACCACAGGAGCAATGGATGAAGGTGGCCTGATCTGATTAATTCAAGAATGGTTGGAAGAACACAAGAGCAAGGTCTTGACTTGGCTTCCAAATTCTCCAGATCTAAATCTATCGGGCATCTGTTTGATGTTCTGAAAAGAACAAGTTTAGTCTGTGGAGGTCAAAACTTACAGGACTTAAACGATCTTCTACAGGTGGCTTTGTGCCAGATACCACAACATACCTTCAGAGGTCTAGTGGAGTCCATGTCTCAAAGAGTTATGGTGGGTGAACATAATGTTATGGCTGATTGGTATAAATCCACTCTGAAACTCAGATATTATCTTGTAAAGATAGCAGTGATATAATTATTATGCTACACATAGCCTGTTCAGATAGCACAGTTGTGCGCAGGATCCAGCAGATCCTCCCACTACAGTCTCCCTGGATCAACTACAGGCAGTGCAAATATAAGATCAATCACCCTACACAAAGAAAGAATAGCAGTCACTGTTCTTCATTACAGGAAACTCCTGCACAGAGGGAAAGTGTGGGAGTTGTTCCATGCAGGATTACTGCACAGATCTGGAAATAAAATACATACATAAAGGACACCAGTAGAAAACACATGACTCATGTATTTAGACCATAATCATTTAGCCCAAATTCCAGCTTTTAAAGGATTGTTGTATAGCTTGCACAGCTGAAAAAACACAAAAATCACACAACATAATGGTTCTGTTATTTCTCTGAGGCACAAAAGGTTATACAGAGTATAGGAACAAACATTTTAAACTCATCCCATCTCTATAGTTATTCTTTCAATGTAGCAATTTCAGATTCTAGATTTGATTTGAGTTCAATGCCATTCGCAAAAGCAAACCACTGTTATGTCAAAAAATGCAGGTTTGTGAAAAAACACTCTTGCTACCATTTGATATTTTATCCACAGCAGTCAGATAACTAGCAATCGGGACAGAAGCTGTGTTGGAGTTATACAATAACCACATTTGCTGCTTAGTGCCATTCTAAAACATTGGTGGGCCCACATCCCACTTTTTATTTTTTTTAAATGCAAAAAGCCATGCCAGAAACCAATAAAAATAAAAAAGAAGAAACACAGCACTGGATTCAGATTGTATAGGTGTCAGTGAAATTGTCACTGGGTACACTGGCTTTAGCTTGGCAACACGCCACAAGATGGGGACTACCCTCGGGAACAGGGAAAGGATTCCACATACCTACAATCCAATGAGAACACCAAACAAAAATCCAAGGCAATTTAATGATAATCTTGATTCATAGCAGAATAAAGCCAACCTGT